ACCTTTTTTATCAACATTTAACACATTTTCATGTTTGTTTCTTAAAATCAAAAACAATAACTTTTTAACGCAAGACACTACAGAAAAATATGTGTATTGCATCAATTAAATAGTATCACAAAATTGAACGATAATATTTTGAATTGCTTAGTAATAAATGATACAAAATTTGTTGTCTAACATCACTTATGTTAATGAGAAATTTTAAAAAATGCCACTTTTCAAATGTCATATTTCAAAAAAACCACATTTTCAAAATCTTTGCAAAATATCACTTTTTCAAAATTATTTATTCATTATATCATTTATGTTTTGGTTATCTATGTTGTATTAGGGTTTAGCTTTGAGGGTTTATGGGTTTTTAGGGGTCAACCCATTTTTTAGGATTAAGAATTTTAAGATTTAGACTCTAAAAATTCATAATTAGTGGTATTTTTGTAAATAGACAACCTATTGTGGCATTTTTGCAAATGTACACACCAAAAATGACAATTTTGCAATTGTATTTATGTTAGTTGATGTTAATATTGATTAATTTAGCATCGATTTAATAACATTGATACAAATTTTTATTAGTTTACATCATTTCTACAAAATTGATATATAAAATATGGATTTGAATCAATTTAATAATGAAAAAATCATTGTTAACTACACGAATTGTGGGGCATCACATGGTTACACATCTGAACTATAATAATGTATGTTTAGCTACATCAACAAATATATAATACATAGCGACATGCATGAACTATATGACATTACATAGTTACACATCTGAATTAAAAACAATGTATTTGTAATTACTACAACAAAACTATAATACATAGTAAAATACACTAATAAAGATAAATTATATTAAAAATCATAATTATATTATTTTTGTCACGTTTTTTTGTAGTCGCGATAAAATTGTTATTTTGTATTAAAATTAAATTATATAAATTGAAAACTTGATCGAAATCAAATTTTCTAATGCAACAAGTAACATATGAATAAAGTCCAAAATTTATTCAATAAAATCCATACATGAAGATATACAAAAACCGGAAAAGACTCAGAACGATCATCTTGGCAAGGCTAATAGTATGGTTAGGACTAACTTTAAAAAACGTATTTATATAAACGTAGATTAAACTGGGAAAACTCCAAGAACTAGTAGTTGAGTCGCGGAGTGTAATCCGAGCTTCAATATTTTTTTTTTGAAAATTATGAAGTATGTCTTTTGTTTCCTTTTTTCAATCATGTTTGTCAATTTTGTTTTATCCTCCTCATGTTTTTTATGAGAATATTATATACAAACTTATTTTTAACTTATAAGAGAATTCAATTTGTTAAACATATATAAACATATAATTATTAGAAAATTAAATATTATATTCATACAAATTAAAATAATTATTAATTAAATGGTCTCCAGCGTAACCAATTCAATAAATGATCTAATGACTCAAAATATTTATGGTTCATCATCTAATTTGGTTTTTAACATACTGGCCGAAAAGAGTTAGTTTTTATTAAAAATGGTTTGAGATCATTTTAATAGCTTGGTTGAAAGTTATGACAAATTTGGTGAAAATAGATTAATTTATCAAATATGTTTGTTTTAAATGTGAATTTTGTTTTTCGGTATGATTCATGTGGGTTTTGAAATTTAGGTCGGGTTCGAAAATTTGGGTTTGGGTTAGGATTAAAATTTATTTAGTTTATTTTTATCAAAATGCTTTCTATCGCGGCTAGACAAAGATTTTGACAAAATTAATATAAATATTATTTTAACATGGTTTTTTTGGTGTAATTTACTATGCATTACAATTTTGTTGGTGTAGTAAAAACCACATTGTTTAACTTCATATGTGTAGCTATGTAATATCATATAGTTCATGTATATCGTTATGTATTATACATTTGTTGATGTAGCTAAACATACATTATTATAGTCTAGATGTGTAGTCATGTGATGCCCCATACTTCGTGTAGCTAACAATGATTTTTTCTTTAAAAATTGATGCATTTGCTGATTTATGTTAACATCACTAAACAAATTATTCAAATTTTACATCACTTAAAATTGATACTAATAAAAATATAATTATAATTATTTAATTATTTTACATCGGTTAGATTAAATTGATATTATTTTATATTAATTATTGAGGTAAGTTGATAAAGTCAAATTGTTCCACATCGACAATTGTGGAATGATTGAAAAAACAATTATTATATAAATAAGATTATAGATATGCCGATTATGGACAACTAAAATTAAAGAGACTTAATTCCAACAAAATATGGTTAATTTTTAGCTTATTTATTATAAAAAACTTTTTTATAAGTTATATAATTATGAAAACAACAAAAAATAATATAAATATTCAACATCAGTTTTTATAACCAAAACAAATATTTAATATTATTTATATAAACTAATGTAAATTTTAGTTTTATTTTTCATAGATGACACATATTAATATCAGTTATAATAAATAATAAAAATATTTACGTTGGTTTTTTTATTGATACAAAATATACGAATTACTAATTTTAAAACCACTTATAGAAATGATGTAATTTTAGTTGTGTTAATAAAAAAAAATGGAAAATAATAAAAAAAATGATATAATCATCCCTGTTTTTTTTTTTGTAGTGAGAGTGCGAAATAGTAGTCAAATAGCAAATGTAAAACATTTTGTGAAGGGGTCAACTTATAAAGTTACATTACAATAATATTACATCGTTAAGTTTTTAAAACGCAC